TAGTGTATTTTAAAGGTATATATGTGCCCACGTGGACACATTACTATTTAAAATGATCCAATATTTATGATGTCCACGTGGACATATATATACCTTTAAAATACACTATTAAATAGTGCATGGGGTAAAAGGTCCTTTCCAAAGTTCGTATTGTTACAACAATTTCGATCAAAGTTCGGATATATTTCAAACCTTTTTTCCTAAAAAATACTTTCAATTTCAAATTTTTATTTTTCACCCCACCACCATCACCACCACTCCACTCCACCCAAAAGAAAATTAAGTTTATTATTAAAAAATATTTTCAATTTCAATTCAAAAATTATTTTCTACTTGAAGTAAAAATAAAAGATATTTTCTCAAAATATTTTTTATTCATAAATCAAACACTAAAAAATCTTTTTCGAAAATATTTTCTACTCACAAACCAAACCTAAGAAAATAAATAAAAAATATACTTGTTTTTCAAAGAAAATATTTTTCTTCATACCAAACACACCATTAGGATCAAAACTCAAAACTAGATAAACAAATTGAATTAGACGGACAAACAATTTGAAGTACGCAAATTTCACTTTATCCGCGTCCAAAGCTCTTTACGTGAAATCCGAAAAGGCTGGAACATAGGCTCCATAATTCAACGAAGTGGGAGTCATAGTTCACAAAGCAAAGAAAATTCACCGCGAATCTTTGAAATTTGGCCCTAAATGATGAGCTTAGTCCCATTATCTTCCTCTGTTGATCTAACAATGGCCAAGTTATTTGTTTCTGCAAATTCCTGAAGAGTTGTCCACGCACACCAACTGTTTGATATTTTTGTCGCATGAAATTTTGACTGCACACCAACTGTTTGATATTTTTATCACATGAAGTTTTGACTCCTACTCCTCATCTCCTTCCTACTAAAGTCCCTAAACTTCTTGTAGGTTGTTGTCTACCTGTAAGTTTATATGTACTTAAATCGATTCTACAAGATAAACAGCACATTTAATTATGTATCTCTGCATTTTCGCCGTTTCTTGGGAACCCAAAATGTGAACAAGGTAGCTTTGTACTTCCAGAGAGCGAGGCTTATCGATTCAGTAAGACTCGCTCTTCGGTCTAGTTCTTCAGAAAATCTTGTTACCTATCTGGAGAATCCTTCTCTGGATTCTTTTGTAGTCACTAAGGCACTTCAATCAGCTCCCTCTCCTGAATCAGCTCTCCATTTGATTGAATGTCTTAAAAAGATTCCACATTTCTCACATACACATAATACCCTTTATGCATTAGCCAAGATTCTTGCTAAGGCGCGGGAGATTGCTAAACTCCAAGCACTTATCAATGCCATTAACTCGGGAAAATTCGTTAATGCGGCACGTGTTAGTTACATGGATCAAATGCGATGGTATGCCATTAGTAGAGAGTTTAACGATGTTGTCCGTGTGTGGGACGAGTGGAGGACAACCCTTCGAAAGCATCCATGTACTGAGTCTTACAACATTGTAATGGGATTATATGTTCAGGTGGGTAAGGATAGTGATGCTGTGAGGGTATTCCGTAGGATGATTGAAGAAGGGGCACTTCCTAATTGTAGGACATACACTATTATAATTGAGCATCTTGTTAGAAGTAGAAAGTTGGATTCAGCCATCGAGCTTTTCCATATGTTGCCTCATGTTCGGATCAAACGTACATTAAAGCAGTATTCTGTTCTAGTGGAAGCATTCACTATTGCCAATCAGTTGGATGTCGTCAAAGTCTTGCTTGATCAGATGAGGAGTGATGGAATATTGCCTGTTCGAGCTATGCTATGGTCATTGCAGCAGATGCAGAGTGCTGGTTATGATGCTGAGACAAATGAATTGCTAAGGGACATGTTATCGGATGGGAGGATTAAGATGATTGGTTACTCTATGGACAGTAGTGAAGACGACAGCGATGATGAAGATGAAGAGATTGACGGTAACAATACTAATGCTGTGGATCAACCTCACCTGAAACCATGGTTGGATCCAGCTTCTTTAGCTAATGCTTTGCAGAACTGGGGCGCTGAGGAGGTGTCAGCACTGGAGGATGCAAATTTAGTTTGGACGACTAGGTTGGTGTGCAAGATGATCAGGAGCTTCAAGTCAGCAGAAACAGCTTGGCAGTTCTTCTGCTGGGTTTCTTGTCAGCCAGGATTCATTCATGATATATACACAATTTCAAGAATGATAACCAAATTAGCTCGCCAAGGATGTGTCGACTTGGTTGATCAACTTTTGTCTAAGGTTGAAAGAGAGGGCATTCAATTGTCATTCAGCACGATACGGTTAATTATTGATTTCTATGGGATTTCTCGTTATGGTGATCCCGCCCTTAGGGTTTTCAAAAGCATTAAAACGATCTGTGGTCCAATATCTAAAAGCAGTCAGTTGCTTCTGTACTCATCTCTGCTAAGGACATTGATAAAATGTAAAATGAATTCAGACGCCTTGGATATTCTCGAAGAAATGAGTTTACTAGGAATTGTTCCAGATTCACAAACATATTCTGGACTAATGAACCATTTTGCTCTTCACGGAGATATAAAAACTGTACAGAGGCTTTTTGGGATGGTCAGGCAGAGCGGTATAGAGCCTGACGCTTATATGTATAAAGTTCTCATACATGCTTATTGCAAATGTGAAAGAGCTGCTCTTGCACTCAGGGTTTTTGAAGACATGAGGAACTCTGGGTTGTTGCCTGATGCTCATACCAAACAATTGCTTGTCAAGAGTCTCTGGAAGGAAGGCAAGCTCCTAGAAGCTGCTTCTGTAGAAGAGAGAACTGAGGAAATAAGTGATGCTCTTCCCCTTGCTTCACCTGGACATATGTTTACAGTGAGCTCTACTGATCTTTCAAGGGTCTGTAACATTTATTCCAATAGTTTCCAGTCAACTTGTAGTTGAAAGACTATGTCATTGATCGGGATATAGAGCTGTAATGCTTTTCCAGTTCCAACAGTGTGATGAAGAATAGATCCGAGAAAGAGACTTACTGCAAATGGCCTCCTCCATATTTCAGGTCAACATCTCCATACATCAGGTCAACATCATCAACTTCAAGAGTCTGTAACATTTATTCCAATAATTTCCAGTCAACTTGTAGTTGAAGGACTATGTCACTGATCGGGATATTAAGCTGTGATGCTTTTCCAGTTCCAACAGTGTGATGAAGAATAGATCCGAGAAAGAGACTAACTGCAAATTAGCAAATGTCCGCCTCCATATTTCAGGTCAACATCATTAACTTAACTCTCATCAAGGAGGTCTGGTTACATGTCCATAGCATTTTGATTATGTTGATCTTTGTAATATTGTTGCTTAAAATTGCAAATGAGTAACTGACTTTTACTTGGCATCGGAGTAAATGTCGTAGTTGTCAGCAATGCAGCTGTTTTACTGATATAAGGTGGTGATATTGCAAGTTCACTCATTTGCTAGGGTTTAGCTTCTATGTGGTATCTGTGCACTTTGTAAACAAGATATACTCATGATTTATGTTTTATGGGGGGTGGAACTGGTGCTTGTTCACCTGCTCTATGATTTTTGCTTGTTCATCCCAGGACCAATGTCCACACATGATTGGATGTTCAATTTTCTGCCTCTTAAGACTTCAACTATAGTTTTTGCAATGTCATTAAGGATTTTCTTAGACTTTGACTTTATTTCCACATTATATAGGTTTTCAGAAATTCTTAAAATTGTTATCATGGAAAAACTAAGCAGCTCTGTTCGTTTCAGTTGTAAGGAGAGAACACTTCACTTGGTCTTGAAAGAGAATAAAACTAGCAACACCGAGGGTGTGTTTGGTATGACATAAGTCATTTTCCTGGATAGGTTTCTGGTGTTGGGTGGAGAGTGGAAAATATTTTCTGATTTTTAAAAATAAAATATTCATAATTATTAGCATAACGAAATTGTTTTGATAATATTTTTGAACATTGAAGATTGATAATAACATCTAAATGTTTGTTAAATCAATGATATGAAGTTTCATAGTTGAGATAATTGCGAAGGTGAGGGAAGTCATTTTCCTTCTCAAGTGAAAAATGTTTTCCTTGGAAAATATTTTCTGGCAATCAGACCCTAGATGATGACTTATTTTCTGGAAAATATCCCCTGAAAAATATTGTTCTTCATGCCAAAGTATGCCAGGATTGTCTCTATGAAACTGACAATTGTAATTTTTTCCTACTTTATTAGGTCTCTTTCTCCTAAGATAAGAGAGTGACACAAGCTCGCTTGCATGTGTTAAGCATATAACTATTGACAACCACCTCTGAGAATTCACCAGTATCTCTACTTTTTTATTCTCTGTTGTTTACTTTATGAACTTTGGTAGGAAGAAGGAATCCGTGCCGTCTAGATTTGGTTCTAGTATTAATCTATTTGCTGGAGCTTCCCTAGGAAAGAACTGAAAGGGAATGTCATAGTCAAGGAGAAAGTAAGGATTATATATTCAAATGATTTCCTTTTGCTTATTGAGAATATTTTATAAAGCATTGTTGCATAAAGACAGAGACAGCTGCTTAAATTATTTAGAGTAGGCAGAGAAGACAAGAGGGTATCTCACAGACAAAGCTACAGACAAGGCCTCCTAGATATTCTTTTTTTCCTATCCTTCCAAACTTTTAGAATTTTTGTAGCTTTCACATTAAAGTTAAATAAATTCCTAAATTCACTCTTGCTCATGCTAACAAATATAACTTACTAGCTGTTGTCTTGCTATCTAAGCTTTTCATCAATGGTAGTTCCTCTTGTCTCCTTGTTTTACAACTTTTTCCTCTTTCTCATACTTTCGTCCTCCAACGTAACTGCTCAACCATCTAGCACAGACACAGACTTTTCATGCTCGTTTAACTCTTCCTTTTCTTGTGATACTTTTATTTCATATCGTGCCCGTCCACCAAACTATTTAGATGTCGGAAGTATATCTGATCTTCTTGAAGTGAGTCGTTTAAGTATAGCTACGGCCACAGGTCTAGCCTCAGAGGATACCGAGCTATTCCCTGACCAGCTTTTACTTGCACCCGTTAAATGCTACTGCAATAGTTCTCATTATTTCTCCAATGTCACCTATCAGATCAAGAAAGGCGACAACTTTTATTCAGTTTCAATAGGAGCTTTTGAGAACCTTACTAATTATCACGTGGTGCAAGATATGAATCCAACACTAGATCCAACCAACTTGACAATTGGCGCAGAAGCTGTTTTTTCTTTGTTTTGTAAATGCCCCACACATTCTGATCTCGAAAAGGGACTTCAGTACCTGGTCACTTATGTTTGGCAGCCTTGGGATGATGTGTTGCCTGTAAGCAATATGTTTGGAGCATCTGCAGCTGACATTCTGGCTGCCAACAATTACAGAAATTTCACTGCTGCAATATATTCTCCTGTCTTGATACCAATAAAACTTCCTATTATTCTGCAATCTTACCCCTCTTCTGCAAGCAGTAGAAAATCCAAACATGGATGGATAGTAATTACTGTTTTAAGTATTATGGGGTTGCTTGCAGTTTTTTCATTTTGCTTGATGGTATACATGCGTCATCTAGACGAGAAGAGGAGGGCTAACTTAGCCCATAACTCTTCTACTCTTGAAACTTCTGAGCTCTTTCATACCAAGAAAGCCTCAGAAGGTGAAATTACGGACCATAAGAACATTCAAGATAAGCTTCTTCCTGGAGTTTCTAGCTACATTGGAAAGCCAATAATATATGACCTGAAGATCATCATGGAGGCAACTGTCGACCTCAGTGAGAGATACAGGATAGGAGGATCAGTGTACAAGGTTACAATGAACGACCAAGTTGTAGCAGTCAAGAAAACAAAACAAGCCTCGGAGGAAATGACAATACTTCAAAAACTACATCACGCAAATCTAGTGAAACTAATGGGCGTTTCATCAGACGATCGTGGGAATTCCTTTGTAGTTTATGAATATGCTGAAAATGGCTCACTGGATCAATGGTTGTTTCCCGGATTATCATCATCTTCTTCTGCCTCTGTCTTAGTGGCATCACTTGGTTGGAGTCGAAGATTACACATAGCCTTGGATGTTGCAAATGCTCTGCAATACCTGCATGAACATACTCAACCTAGTATAGTTCACGGGGACATCCGAACGTGTAGCATACTTCTTGATTCAAGGTTTAAAGCCAAAATTGCAGGTTTCTCTACAGCCAGACATGCCACCAACTCAATGATCCTGAAAGTTGATGTGTTTGCTTTTGGGATTGTGCTGTTGGAGTTGCTTTCAGGGAAGAAAGCAATGGAATCAAAAGATTATAATGATGAGACTCTGATCATCTGCAAAGAAATTAGTGGAATCTTGGAAGTTGAAGAGAACAGAAAGGAGAAGTTTAGAAAATGGATGGATCCAAAGTTGAGCTTTTACCCTATTGATGATGCTCTAAACTTGGCTGCCTTGGCGACAGCATGCACATCGAAGCAATCAGCAGAGAGGCCTAAGATGACAGATATTGTCTTCAACCTCTGTTTTCTTGCTCAATCATCTTTTGAAATGTATGGACCATCTTGGACTTCAGGTGAAGCTGAGGAGATTGTCCAGATTGTTAGTCCAGTAATAGCACGTTGAGTTAAAGATGGAGCGTAAATATAGTTCAAGAACTTTTGTCAGTTCGTCTCAAATTTGTAACATATTCTGGATTATAAAGCCACAGGAACAATAATCAAGCTGATCTCCAGAATATATTGCAAATTCGAGTTATCTTGTCCAGCTTTTCCCTGTATTTCTCTTGCTGCTAAGTTAGTTGCTAGAGTATATTCTTGTATTGGATGTTTTTCTCAACTTTGAAATAAGTGGAGTGCAATTTGACCTGTATTTCTTTCGTCCTCTCAAAAGAAAAACAGAAAAAATTAAGTTTCTGAAAAGACACTGCAAACTCGTTCTTATTTATATTTATATATTTAAGATCCAGACGAGTACATGTTTATTTTGTAAACAAGTTCTTTAATTTTATGCATCCGTTTGTTCTTACCTCTTTGTGCACATAGCTTGACCTCTGTTACGGTCGTATTAGAATGAATTTCTTTTAGCTCAATTCGAAGTACGGTATAAAGTAGTTAAATGTAGTGAAGGAGTCACGTGATTAGCACATTCTAGAACTAGTCTGTTAGGAAGGAAAGTTAATAACAACTAACTTTGGGAACAATCTCTTTGATTAAGTAGGAGTTAATTCTGAAAGTGTAAACAAATTTTGGATTCTAGCAGATCAATAAACTCTTTTCTTTATAAATTTCTTCAGAAGTCTTTGAGTTCTCGAATGAGCTGTTCAAGAACAATTCTCCTATTTGTTCTTTAGGCAAACTCTGTTTCTCTTTCAATTTCTTATCCGATATTAAGGGATCAAATTAGTGGTATCAGAGTCAGGTTATCTCGAAAAGCCACCTTGAGGGCCTTCAAAGCTTGTTTGACTAAGGCTCGGAGTCGAATGAAGTCCCAACAAAGCTTGTTTGACTAAGGCTCAGAGTCAAATGAAGTCCCAAGCTGACAAGGGAAGGACATACAAAACTTATAATGTCGGTGATTAGATTTATGTGAAACTCCAGCCTTACAGACAACTTTCCCTTAAATCTTTGACAAATAGACTTTTCAGGAGCTCTCCGCTAAATTCTTTGGCCCTTTCCAGATTGTGGCTACTGCAAAGTGGATTGCACCTTGGCATTGCTAGCAGATTCCAAGATCCACCTCACGTTTCATATTTCCCAGCTAAAGAAGAAGATTGACTCTCATCCTACTTCAGTCATTCTATCTATTGTGCACTCCTCTTCAGACCATATTCTTTTAGTTCATGAGGTCATCTTAGATAGAAGAATTGTTCAAAAGAATGGCATGACTGTTTCTCAATGGCTTAACAAGTGGACCAATGCTCTAGAGGAAGATAGTACTTAGGAAAATATCATACTTCTTGCAGTAGTTTCCTTAATTTCATCCTTGAGGACAAGTATGGTTAGATGGGGGAGTATTTTTACGGCTATATTAGAATGAATTTCTTTTAGTGTATAAAATAGTTAAATGTAGTGAAAGAGTTACATCATTAGCACATTCTATAGAACTAGTTTGTTAGGAAGAAAAGTTAGTTACACCTAACTTTGGGATAGTAGAATTTAATCATCAAAGTGTAATTTTTTTTTAATTCTAGTGGATCAATGAACTCTCTTCTTCCTTTTCTTTCTGAATTTCTTTAGAACTCTTTGAGTTCTCGAGTAAGCTGTTCAAGAATAATTCTCTTATTTGTTCTTTAGTTCCTGAGGCCATGTTAGATAGAAGAATGGTAGGATTGTCTCTCAATGTCTTATCAAGTAGTTCAATGGTCTGGAGGAAGAAGATTGTACTTGGGACGATTATCATATTTTATTCTAAGTTTCCTCAATTTCATCCTTGAGTACAAAGATGATTTGATAGGGGAATATTGTTACGACCCTATTAGAATAAATTTGTTTTAGCTCAATTCAAAGTACGGTATAAAGTAGTTATATGTAGTGAATGAGTCATGTGATTAGCAAATTCTAAAACTAGTTTGTTAGTCTGT